TACAAAATTTTAATTCAAAATATTTAAATTAATTTTCTGGAAAATTTATTTTCTGAAAACTTTTCTGAAAACTTTTCTGAAAACTTTATTTTCTATGTCGTTGTTGTAACAAATGAGCAATATGTCTTATTGAAGACTTAAGAAAGATGAACTTTTAATATGACTGAATAACCGAAGTGCCGATTGACAAGACAGGGATACGGTAGTGCGATATACTTCCTCGCCAATCGTCCCGGCTTCGCGAAGAATGCGTTCGTGGACAGAAGTAGGGAGAAAAAAATAGGCCGTGTAGAACACATCCTGAGTGCGCAACAAGCCGACCTCTCCCAACTAAGATCGGTGCATTACATCAACGGTGCGCAACATCGTTACGATCTCCGGAGCTCCGGCGTGCCTTAGAATGCATAATTAATAATTCTACCTACTCACTTGCGATATACTAACGCCGACCAAGGCGTGAACGTACAAGGTGATACCCGCGAGCATGTCGCCGATTCATATATTAACGACGCACGTGCCGTGCACCAACGATGCTCTTAATCGGGATTTATTTCTTTTTCTTCCTTTTAGAGAATTTTGCTTATCTTAGAGATTCTATAACAGAGCATAAGCAATTTTGTCAAAATCCTACGAAAGAGAAAGATTTTTATAATTTCTCCCATGCAATATATGTACTTATTAACTTTAATTAAGATTATAGAATAAGAAAGTACAAGTTAAAATGAGAGAGTATATGTACTCTCTACGAGAAATTATATATACCTTTCTCTTGTAAAAGATTTTGACAAAATCGCTTGTGGCTAAACTCTGATCATATGATCTCTAGCTAATCTGACAAAAATATTTTGAAATCAACAAAACATACCAATAAGAAGAAATGGCATTTTAAGAGCAATGGATATTATAATTCTATTTGGTCTTACCAAAATGCCATTACTTTAATCAAAACATTTTTTTCAATGCAGGCTATAATAATTCCAAGATCGCGATAGAGATTAGAACTTCTCACTAATTAAAAGTGAAAATATAATAGTAATATGTTTATAACTCGCAAATATTAATATTGGTCCGACGTACATATATTGACCATTTTATTTAAAATATCATGGCTAAAAGGTTCGTTTAAACAAGTTAGGATAATGTCCCTTTTAATTAATTGTCTATTAATTAAAATTTTAATTTCGATTTAATTTACACTTTATCTTTGCCTTAGAATAAAAAAAAGGACAAAAAGTGAATTAAACCGAGTTAATATAGAAATTGATATAAGAATCTTCATTCAATTCTATAAAGTTCTAAAGAATGAATTTGTCTTGAAAACAAAATGCTAGAAAAGATGAAAAATAATACTATAAATCGGTTTAACAAAAGAGTATAGCGAATTCTAGTCACATCTCGTCGTTTGAATAGAAAAATTTTATTCTAGTATCGTACGTTTCTCGCATGAAGCATGCTTTTATACGGGATCCGGTGTGTACAACCAATCCTGTAGGAGGAGCATTACTGTGATTTCTGCCCGGCTGGATTACCAATGGAAATACCATTACGAGGTAGTCACCGTTGACAGTTAATGGTGTCAACGGTGCGCATTCGCCACTAGTTTGTCTTTACGGATCGCTTAAGAGAGCGCACGTGGTTACGGAATGTTTCATCCGTGTGGAAAGAAAGCAAAGCCTATTCTCCTTTCGTCTTTCTGTCTCTTTTTCAGCAGCAAAAAGTTCGAATTGAAGCTTTATTATAATCTTTCATTAATGCAAAACAGATCGCGATGAAACGGCGTCCAACGAATCAATTATGATTATTAAAATACAGTAAATAAATTATTTTTTTTTTACGAGTCTTCTCTCTAAAAATTTTAGAGTGAGAATCTCACTCTAAGAAATAAAATCTTACTCTTAAAGATTAAAAATTGTTCTTTTCAGGGTTGACTCAATTTTCATCCTTTGAAATTCCATTTCAATCAACACGAAAAGAATAATTTTGCTATGTAAAAATTTAACTAAATTCATATTCGAAAATAATTTGATGTACTATCAAAAAAATTATATAGAAAAATAATTTCGTTGTACTACCAAAATAATTATTTAGGACGCTCAAACGTGGTTGGTGGTAAAAGATCAAAATTTTTGACAGCATTGCTCATTATACTTGAATTTACTACGTAATTATTTTGATAGTCTAACAAAATTTTTTTCAGATCTGTATTTAGCTAAATTTTTAGATATTTCAACAAAATGTTTTCCGTAAAGAATTTAACAAATTCTTTTAACATGAGTACTTGAAATTTGAGGACATTAAATTAATGTTTACAATGATATAATCCGAATGATCTTTCAATTATCCAAAACAATTATTATCCAAAGATTATTTAAATCCAGGTGCTCGAATTATCTGAATAATTTGAATTTTAGGTCTTCATTAATTGTAACCATCTTTTCGCTGATAATATTTCCATCGAAAGCCTTGAAAAATTTAAGAAATGAATCTTAAAAATCAATTTAATATTTGTAATCGCAATTTAAATGAGAGACTCGATGGTTTGATATTCGAAAAGTCCAATCCATGAATTTGAATTCGAATTAGCAAATTATAAGGCGTTTCTATTCTTGGATTCTGTTCAATTACAATCAGCCTCTCGTCCGCAACTTTCGAAAAATCACCGGTGACGGAATGATCGCGCATAGATCGAATTCAAGGTGTGATTTCCGATCGATTGATCGGCCACGTCGATTACGCTGCCTCTTTAGTGTTCTCCCACGGACTTTACCTTCTATGCCATGTATCCAGCGCCTACACACGCGCACGCACGCACGCATGCACGCACGCACACGCTGGCTAATGCAAAAGTGACGTTGACGTCACGCGTCCGTACATGGACTCACTGTGAAAATTGTGTGGGTGTCGCACGTTATAAATTACTTCGTCTTGGACTTTTTCCCCTGTTACTCCACATCCTTCTTCTATTCCCATCTCGATCGCCTCTGTAATCTTCAAATCTTCGAATAAAGAGAAAAAACTGCATTTGTAGATTCTGACTAACTCGATAAAAAAACTTAGGAAAAACAGAGTGAAGTCACAATCATTAAGAAGAAAAAGCTGAATAAGTCTAGAATGATAGTTTTTTATTAACATAAAGCGAATGTATTTTCGATCTGATATCAAATCTAAAAATATACAATTATGCCTCAACTAAGGCTTAATATCTCAAATATCTTATGTCTTAATCTCGTATATAAAGTGATACCGTTCGATGAAGATTCAAATGATTTGTTTATTACTAAAGCTATTCGTTCACTAAAGCTATTCACTTATCACGTATATACATAGTATATGCAATATTTTGACTTTAATCCTTCGTAGTCCAACCGAGGCTTTGAAGAGCCACGCAAATACAAACAAAATGAAAACATTTCGGATATTGTAAAATCATATTCTTGAATATATCAGAATTTTTTTAGATTTTTTAGAGTCCAAAAACTCTTTGAAAAATACAATCTGACACTAGTGAATCGATTGGATTAGAAAAACAATAAAAAAAAACATTAAACTATGGAAGGTTAATATGATCTGGACATATGCTTCTCACATGTTGCACTTTATTTATGAATTGTCAGTAGTGCGATAAGATCATTTTCTAGCAATCAAATTGGAATTGTTAACTGTCGATGCTAAAGTTATCACATCGAGATGTATTAATATCATTAAATTGATATTGAATGCTTAATGATGCCGTCGAACACCATTGTCTATCGTCTACACCTATAAGGTGCGCGTGGATGCCTGTTACCTGCTGAATTACCGATTATCCTGCCCACGTTTGCTATCTGGCGAAAGGTCTTGGTGCATTTCAGCCGCTTTGCCGGGTCGTTTATATTTTTGAAATATCCTTAACCGTCTCCGCTGAGTTTCTTTTTGTGATCGTGAAGACTTACTAATTTCCACTTCTATTAAAGAGTTAAATAGGAAAAAATGAAAGTTTAACATTAAGCTAATTAGTGGCGCATATTTGTGTTCGAACTCACATATGAATTAATTTAATATTGAGAAAGCAATAATTAAAATTAATTTGATTAATTCAAATGTAAGCGATAAATATAGATTGAATGTTTTTTGCCTATGTTATCGTTGAAGATTTGAATAAATACTTAAGAATCTTTGAAGAGATATCTATAAATTTAAAAAATTATAAATAAATTTGTCCGAGCTTGCAAACTTTTGCACTTTTGCTTCAACTTAGAATGTATATTTCTATTATATATAATTTTTGTTGTTAAATTAAAAAATATACTTAAGTCCTATTATCGGTGATACAGTAAATCCGAAAGATTTGGCGACTTTCGCCAGATCTAGAGTTTTTATATCAAAGATCTGCTTCAAATGATGTGAATAATACGCTCTGTAATACGAATGTAATTCTTGAAGGCTTCCTTTGTCAACTGATATAAGAAGTAATTAACTTCAATTAACTTCTCAAGCTAAAACAGAAGATATCCTATATAATAGCTTTATAGATATTACTGAATATCTACGCAGATATTTTAATTAAATTAAGAATTGTATACATTTCAATTCTCTACTTAAAAAATGCGGTAAAATCATACATATATTCTCATGAATGTTTTAATATTTCTTAGTTTCAGTTTAAACTCAGAGTGTTTAAATTACAGTCCAGATAAAAAATATTAAATTTTAAAAGAAAATTACGTAAAATATATTCATTGTTTATAATTGTATATCGGTAATTTTATTCCAAGAGAATTCATATTCGTTTATGGATACACGAGCTATTTCGAGATAACGAAGGAAGCTAAGCTCTTCTGGTTGTCATCAGCAATGCATGATCGCTACTATCGTCTCCGCGAGCGATTCAACCAATACGATGGATATATTTCTAAAAGTCGTACAAATTCAATGTTAAAAATCAATGTTCATTAATTAGTATTTATTATTGAGAAAAGCGTTGCAAAATTGATGAAAGATAATTCTTTTCGTTTGTTTCTGCTTGCTTTGTTAATGAAAGCATGAACACTAAGTTCATAAAAATATTGCGATTTCGAGTGGAAAAATCTAATAACATACATGTATACTCATCACTGGTAAATCAATGTAGTTTAAAAGTTCATGGTAATATTTAACGGACATGCAAGAATTGAAGAAAAGCATCATCTTCTTTTGTTTTTCTTTAAGAACGTGAACAAAAGTAGAAATCTTTTCTCGCTCGACATGCTATGTAATCCTGCTGTAAGTCCTCCACAGTCGCCATATCCTTGTCGACTTCCACATATATAAGTTTTTTTTTAACGCTTATTTTGTTATTGTTGTGATCTTTTGTGTATTTGTCGCGCTGAAGAAGATAATTTGCCGACGTTCTGCAAGAGTAATTCAAGTAGTAAAGACAAAAACAATTTACTTTTAATAATTAATACGCAGTGTACTTACTGGGAAGAATGTTGATGATTTCAACTCTTCCTTGTATCCAATATCTAAAATACGATCTGCTTCGTCAATGATCAAATATTGAAGGAATTTCTTATAAGAAATCAGGTGTGTTTTGCAAATAATCTAATAATCGTTCTGGCATCGCCACAATAATATTGATCCCTTTTCCGAGTTTTGCATTTCGCTCTATCTATGGCATCAGAAGACCATATGTATCATAATGATATTTCATTAATTTTTCCGAGACTCCGAAAGTTTGCATAGACAATTCTCTTGTGGGAAACATAATGATACAATCAGTAAACATTTATCCATTCAAATTTGCTGCTGATTTTTTATAACTGGATTGTTAGAATCGAGATAGCTTTATTCTTATTAGTAGCTTTTCCTTTTAATTCATCTCAATATAATTTAAAGATAGAAATTATATATCAATTGGATATATCATTATTGAATATTATATACTTTATACTGGATGAAAATTACAGTTGCATTTAAATAATTTTTTATTTACATAAAAATAAATTCATAAAGAATATTTATATAAGAATAATTTCATTATTTATGAAATAAAAAATAATCTAAATGCTTTTCTAACACTGGCTATCAGGTTTACATACCATTATAAGGCATGAACTTCCATCTATAAATTAATTCAATAGCAGGAATTAAAAAGGTTTTGTCAGATCCAGTTTTAGCCAATCAAATCTTTCCCTTCAAGAAAGAATGGAATAGCTAATGCTTCTGTATCTCAGTCATATATGTAAAATCCATATTCTCCATTGCTTTCATTATCATCTGGTTCAATATTGAGCTTGCTATCATTCATCATTTCAAAATCTATAAGCTGTATCAAGTGCTAAATAACAATATATATATATAATATTATTAGAAAGTGCAGAAATATCATTCAGTTACTAGCTTAGTCAGAAATACATACGATTCTCAGAAATTAAAGATCGTTTAACTATCTCCTCAGACTCTTCATTTTTCTTGGATACATTTCACATTGATTTCATCTTTTCTAAAAAAAAAAGATACATGGATCATTATTAATAATTATATAATAAAACAGAAAATACATATGATTAATTCTGCAAATAACATTTTCAATTTCTTTACTGATAAAAAATTCACACCTTGTACATTTAAAATAATTTAAAAAATAAATTGTAGGAATAAATTAGAAGAATTTATACAAATATCCTTTGTGTTTGTCGACTTGTCTCAGATATTTTTTTCTGATCTGATTGTATCTATATATACAAAAGTATTTTATTGAAGAAATAATGATAAACACATTTAAAAAAAAAATAAAAGAAGATTGATATTGAGAAACAACTAGTTTTGCCACACAATTTCCTTAAATACAAATTTATTATTTAAATGTCCATATGAAAGAACTAACCTCAAAAATAAAAATATTTTTATCTTTTTGCTCTTCCCGCCGTTTTAGTACAGTTAATTTTGTCTTTTCATTTTTTAATTTTTCGTATCAGCACTTTCTCGGAAACTGACATTTTTTAAAATTGCAGAACAGTATCTTAAAATGATATCAAAAATTGTTTATAGTCCATTAGAACCTATTGGGCGCGTTCGAAATTTAAATCACTTTAAACAGCACAAATCTGCTAACGCTAACTTGCTCGCCGAGCGATTGAATGTGATTGATTAGATCTATCAGTAACAATCAATCATTTGCTTGGCGAGCAGACTAGCTGTTTTGCTGAAAGTAAATTCATTAGATTCGTAATAATTCGTATAAGCGTACATTTCGTTTCATGCATAATGTGCATATAATGCACCATTTATCCTTGTTTAACATTTGATGAATAACAAAACTAAATGATGAATCATATGTGAAACGGGATGCATTCTAGATTGCGCGCTCCCATTAGAAATGCAAAATAGTTTAAAATATGAATGTAGATATCTATCTTGTAATATTTATTATAAACAATTTTACATATATATGCATTGCTATTCTTTGTGTGTGTGTTATATATACCACATGTACTATCCTAGAATAGCAATGGAAATAATTATTTCAAAAAATTACTTCAAGTATATATGAATAATCAAGATAATATTCTTGAGATGGGTCCTTTCTATATAAAGATTATGCGACTTCCACGGGTCCTTTCTATATAAAGATTATCGGGTTTCTTCCGTGTCCAAATCCATTCTTGGAATGCCAACGTTTCGTGAACCTTGCAGTTCACTTCATCAGGGCGAGGAGCAGCCTGATACTTATATAATATACAATGTATATACAATATAATAATATACAAATATCTTATGTTATACAGAGTGTTTCCTATAATCATCTAAAATATCTCCGTTGTTTTTAATGATATGATAAAATATTAAAGAAAAAAGTTCGATTCAAGAGTCACATATTATATTGAGCAAAAAATTTTTCTCAAGGTTCTATTTTTTTAAATTTCAAGATCACTTCCACATTTTTAAATGGAATTGTATGATTTTTTTTACACAATATGATTCCTCTAATTATTCTGAATATAAAAGTATTAAAGTAGTGATGTAAAAATATCAAGTTAGTTATGAGATATTTTATACTTTATTCTGTATGTGTTGACATAAAAATTAACATGACATATTAAATATCTCGTAAACTATTAATGTTTTTTATAATCATAAATTAATACTTCTATGAACAGAATAATGAGATGAATCATATTATGTAAAAATCATATTATGTAAAAAAAAATCACGCAATTCCACTTAAAAAAATGAAGATTATCTTGAAATCTCAAAAAAATATGACCTTGAGAAAAATTTTTTGCTCATAATATGTGCCTCTTCAAATCGAATACTTTCTCCTTTGACATTTTCTTGTATCATTAAAAACAATAGAGATATTCTAGATTAAGTTAGAAGAAACACCCTGTATAATAAATAATTAAGATTATATGTAGTATTTCGTAAATTCCTTAGATTTTCATAAAACGTTAAGTGTGTAACTTGCATTCTTGTCAATAGAACATAAAATATTCTCGCAAATATTCATCACTAGCTGTTTGTAGCTTGCACGCATGCACTTTCCATCTACATTAAATTATTAAATGTATGGACTCAATTTTTTTATCTTATTTGTTTTAGAAATCCTTTTTATTATTTGACTTTTTGTTTTACATATACATAATAATTTTTTAATTCTATATTCTTATACATAAAAACTCATAATTATAGTTGAATATAATACTACAATGTTCATAAACGATTAATATTATATTATTGTATGTGTAACGTATGCAATAATTTCGTGGAAATATCTAAATAACTTCCTGGTTAATAAAAAATTAGAATTAAGTATTTATGAATTAGAATTGATAAATATCGTTCAAAAAATCGTTTAATTTACATATAATATTTGGACGCGAAGACATGTATAAATATATTCCATCACTATTCATCATAATCTATATAATTATCTATTTTTATTATAACTTTATTTATCACTATCTTTAATTTTTTCTTTATGTTTTGTGTTCTAATAAACAATTATGTAAGTACGAAACAAGTATTTTTTTTGCATCATAGTATTATATATGTGTAAATATCCACATATTTGCACGGATTTAATTATGGAGTACAATTGTTATTTTATAATTATAAAATATACAACAAAATGAAAACTAATTACGGAAGTTATATAAATATATAAAATAACTGCATAATTACACAACCTATATGCCAATGCTGTTGACTGATTAATAATTATTATTTTT